TGACCTTGAGGTCAGGTGCTTATTGTATGATTCCACACCACTGCACTACTGCTGGTGTGTGTTGTTGAATCCATTCCAACTCATAGCAGAAAGCCTCATCTTTTTCCCGTGGAGTGAGTGGCTGGTAGATTTGGACTGCTGACCGTGAGCTTGGCAGCCCAATGCATAATCAGTGCTATGCTGCCAGTGGTCCATTAATTTGCACTAGGGTTATCAAATTATAATACAGGCCCCAAAGTAGATCTAACTCAGTTTAATGCTCTCAATTCCATTGTTGTTAAGTGTGGTCAAGTTTTCAACTCATAGCGACCCTGGATAGGGTTTTGAAGGAGTGACTGGTGAGTTTGAATTGCCAGCCTTGTGGTTCAGACCGACCTTATGGTGGAGTGCTTATCCAACAGTGCAGCACCAGTATTCCTTAAGGATCTGTGTTGTTCTTTACATACTTTTCTGTATTTGAAGGTCACGAGGTGATGTTGGAAGGAGAGCTCTTTGGGGATTCTAGAATCTGTTGTCTCTTCTTGGATTTTGTTAAACGTCTCACCAGATTCACGCCGTCCTGTCAAGAGTGCAGAATATTTCTGTGGGCTTCAGATCCATTCCTTAACTCACAGTAGTGACTTGTTGTTACTAAGTGCCGTGGAGTCAGTTCCGACTCATAGCGACCTTGTGTAAGATTTCCGAGGAGCAGTTTACTGAGTTTTTCAACTTTAGTTCTCAAGATGTTTTCTTGATTTTACCAGTGTTGCCAAATCATATCCTGAGCTCTTTCTAGTTAAACTGGAAGGTGTTTATTAAAAATTCTAAGTGTTAATAGCTTCTCTATTTTTTCTTTACTGCTTTTATACACTGTAAGGTAGAAACCATACCATACTGTGCAGAACCTTTCTCTGGCCACTACTTTAGAAAGTTTATAGTTTCTCTGGAATCTCTGGTTTTAATGCCCTCAATTACAAATGGTAAGGCTAGAGGTTTGAATCCACTCAAGTGCCTCAGAAGAAAGGCCTGGTGATCTACTTCTGAAAAAATTAGCTATTGAAAACATTGTGGAGTACACGTTTCTACTCCGACACGTGAGTTGGAATTGACTTGATGGCACCAATAATTGCAGTGAGCCATATCCATGACGAGAACATATTTCATTTATTATTTGGTCAAATGTTTTACATTTCTAGCTCATCACATTGTTGGTGGTGTTATTAGGTGCTGTCGAGCCGGTTCTGACTCATAATGACCCAGTGTACAACAGAATGAAACACTGCCCAGTTCTGCACCATCCTCATAATTGTTACACTTGAGCCCATTGTTACTGTCACTGTGCCAGTCCATCTCGTTGGGGGTCTTCCTCTTTGTCGCTGACCCTCCACTTTACCAAGCATGATGTCCTTCTCCAGGGACTGGTCCCTCCTGATAACATGTCCAAAGTATGAGAGACCAAGTCTCACCATCCTGGCTTCTAAGGAGCATTCTGGCTGGACTTCTTCCAAAGCACATTTCTTTCTTCTTTTGGCAGTCCATGGTACTTTTAAAATTTCTTCTCCAGCACCATAACTCAAATGCATCAGTTCTTCTGAAGTCTTCCTTACTCACTGTCCAACTTTCACATGCGTTGTTGTTGTTGTTAAAGTGCTGTCTTTTTGGTTCCAGCCCATAATGATCCTGTAAACAGTTTCTGAGGAGCAAAGACCTTGTGGTTAAAACCGACTTGCAGTCTATCACATTAACCCACAGCGCCACACCAGGACTCCTTCACATACTTATGAGACTATTGAAATACCACGACTTGGGTCAGGAGCATCTTAGTCCACAAACTGACATCTTTGCTCTTGAACACTTTAAAGAGGTCTTATATAGCAGATTTGCCAAATGTAGTACATCATTTGATTTCTTGACTGCTGTTTCTAAGAGTGCTGATGGTTGATCCAAGCAAAATGAAGTCTTTGACAACTTCTATCTTTTGTCTACTTATCATGATGTCGTTTATTGGTCCAGTGGTGAGGATTTTTGTTTTCTTTACATTGAGATGCAATCCATACTGAAAGCTGTGCTCTTTGATCTTCATCAGTAAGTATTTTAGGTCCTCTTCACTTTCAGCAAGAAGGTTATGTCATCTGCATATTGCAGATTGTTAATGAATCTGCTTCCAATACTAATGCCACATTCTTCTTCATATAATCTATCTTCTCAGATTACTTGCTCAGCATGCAGATTGAATAAGTATAGTGAAAGAATGCAACTGTGGTGAACACCTTTCCTGATTTTAAACCACTGAGTATCCCCTTGTTCTGTTTGTATAAATGCCTCTTGGTCTATGTACAGATGCCTCATAAGTATAGTGAAGTGTTCTAGAATACCATTTTTCTCAGTGCTATCCATAGCTTGTCATGATCCACACAGTCATAAACCATAGTCAGCAAAGCCCAATTAAGCATCTTTTGGGTATTCTCTGCTTTCAGCCAAGTTCTGTCTGACATCAGCAATGATATCCCTAATTCCACATCCTCTTCTGAATCTGGCTTGAGTTTCTGGCAGCTCCCTGTTGATGGTACTGTGGCAACCATTTAAAAATTATCTTTAGCAAACTTTTACTTGAATGTGATATTAATGACATTGTTCTGTTATTTCCACATTGGAAATCCTTCTTTGGAATGGGCACAAATATAGATTTCTTACAACTGGTTTACCACATAGCTGTCTTCCAAATTTCTTTGCATAAATTAGGGTGAGCATCAGTTTGTTGAAAAATTTCAGTATCTATTCCTGGAGCCTTGCTTTTTACCTTTACCTTCAGTGCAACTTGAGCTTCTCCCTGTAGTACCATTGGTTCTTTTTTTTTGTAAGGTTTTTATTGTGGATTGAGTGAAAGTTTTCAGGGCACATCATCGGTTTCACATTCAAACATTCATATACCTTGTTTCATTACATTGATTATAATCCCCTCCACATACCATCAGTTAACAGAGATTCTCTCTATCCTCTTTAGCTTTTTTTTTGGGGGGGGGGGAACTTTGCCTTTTTGGAATTTACAGTCTCGGCTTTTAGGGAAGGTTTTTACATTTATCTGTGGGTATCCAGGGCTCATGTATGGAATTACTAACCAGCATAACTGAATAATCAGATAAGGGACATTTTGCTATATCTGCTAGGTGGCTAAAGTCTGATCCTCAGAGCCTATTACCATTGGTTCTTGATCATATGCTATCTCTTGAAATGGTTGAATGAACATTTACCATTTCTTTTTGGTACAGTGACTCTGTGTATACCTCCCATCTTCTGATGCTTTATGTATCATTCAGTATTTTGCCCATGGTCCTTCAATGTTGAAAGTCAAGGTTTAAGTTTTTTCTTCAGTTTTTTCAACTTCAGAAATGCTGAATGTTTTCTTCCCTTTTGGTTTTGTAACTCCAGGTCTTTGCACATTTCATTGTCGTACTTGACTTTGTCTTCTTGAGGTGCCCTTTGGCATTTTCTGTTCAACTCTTTGATTTCCTCATTTCTTTCATTTGCTTTAGCATCTCTGCACTGAAGAGCAAGTTTCAGAGTCTCTTCTGGCAACTATTTGTCTCTCATCACTTGGCATATCATAATTTACTAAATAGTGCCTCCTATGGGAGATACTGGTTGTTTCTAGTTTTTTGTTCTGTGTGTTTGTGCTTGGAACATATTTTTAAATTTGTAGTTTGCATTATGTTTAAAAGCAATCTGAACACTTGAAATTAGTAGGCTAATCAGCTTTCTTTATTAAATTATTAGAACTCTAGCCACAGCAATAAATGGAGTCTGTTTTTATTAGTAGGTGCAGGTTCTTTAAAAATGGTTAACTAAAAGGACAGTTGATATTAATCCAGAAGAGTTTTTCTTTCTCTTGGTGATATTTTACTCATGCCCATATTCTTCCTATGATTTAATAATGAAGATGTTAAACATGGATTCCAGTTTTTTAAGAAAATGTGTGCTTTAAAAAAAAAGTAAAATCACATGTTTTTAAATTTAATGAAGAAAACAATATAAAAACTAGCAGATAATTTGAGTTGGAAATTGAAAGTTGTGCTGTAGAATACTCATTTTTTTTCCTAAGTTGTTTATAATACTGTTCATGTTAATTGAGCAAAACATATACCAACCATTTCAAGTTTCTACATGTATAATTTAGTGACATTTTTCCAGTTGTGCAGCCATTCCCACCCTCTTCTTCTGAGTTGCTTGTCCCTCCCTCCCTCATTACCATGAACTCATAGCCCCTAAAGTCGGACCCTTTAGAATTGCTGCTATCAGTTTGAGCATAATACTCAAGACAGACTTTTTTTTTTAACTTGTTTAAACTATGTTAGATTTGAAGATGACTTGGGGACATTTTTGGTTTCAGATTTAAAGATTATCACAGGATAATAGTTTCAGTGGCTCATCCACATTTCTATGGCTTCATAAAGATATAGAGTCCATGAGAAATTGAAATTCTGTTTTGCACGTTCCCCTGTTTGGTCAGAATTTTTCTATCCAAAGAAAAGATTGAGTAAATGTTCAGTATTGGTGGCAGACACAATGCAGTTCTTCTGGTCGCATGGCAAAGGAAGCAGTTGTTCATGGGGACATTTAGCCCCACATTCTTGATTCTCTTTATTCTTCTGTTGTTCCAGGTGAATAGAGAGCTATTTTTGTGCCTTAGATGGCAGTATTCATATTTAAAATATTGTCAGATTTGATAGTTTGATTTTATTATTTCTAGACTTTGATATCATCTGTAACTTATTTATAAAAATGTTTGTAAAATGTCCTTTAATTTCATTCTCATTTAATAAACGGAATCACTGTCTAAGAACCTTAAGGAATCATAAGTAGCTCTGGAGCTTTTTGCTGCATTCAATTATATAAGAATTATATGTGATTTTCTAAGGGTAATAAGCTTTGTAATGGTTTGTATTCAAGAATGTTGACTCTACTTTTTTTTTTCTTTTCTTCAGATTCTGTCAATCTTTAAGGACAAATGTACCTTATAGCTCATGGAAGAAAAAACACAAACCAAGACATTTTTGGGTTCAAAGTTGCCGAAGTATGGAACAAAATCCGTAAGAAGTACACTGCAGCCAATGCCAAATGGGACAACTGCTAGCTTATTAGGAGTTTCCAAGAGTAGCAGTGTCAAAAGTTATATAAGAAATAATGGCTCAGATTATCCACTGTCCCATTCATTTAGTTGGAGAAAGGCAAACAAATACCAACTCAATGAAGAAAGTGCTGGAGAGTCCAACGATCCTCAAAATTCACTTGATAAATTAATTGATCCTGAAAAACATGTTCCTAATCAAGGAATGCTTGACAAAAGTAGGATAAAAGGAGGTTTGAAAAGCGTTTCTGTACTCACATCAAAGGCAGCAAAGCCATCCACTATGTTTGTGTCATCTACAGAGGAGTTAAACCAGAAGCCTTTGTCTGGACCATCTAATTTGGGTAAATTTACCAAAGGTACATTATTAGGAAGAACTTCTTATTCTTCAATCAGTGCTCCAAAATCACAGTTGAATGGATGTTATGGCACTCGATCAGCTGGTGGCATGCAAAGGCCTAGAGCAAACTCCTATGCCACCAGAAGCAGTTCTGGAGAGAGCTTAGCACAATCCCCAGACAATAGTAAAATGGTCAGGTCACAGAGTTTTTCGCATTCCATTCAGAATTCATTCCTTCCAACTTCATCTATAACCAGATCACATTCCTTCAACAGAGCTGTAGATCTTCCTAAGCCTTATCCGAACCAACAGCTGCACATTAGAATGCCTCTAAGGTCAAGTATGCTAACAAGAAATTCCAGGCAGACAGAAGGATTCAATGGGAACGAACATTTAGGATATGGATTTAACAGATCTTATCCTGCTGGTGGGAAGAAGTTGGCTTTACCGAATGGCCCTGGTGTAACTTCCACTTTGGGTTATAGGATGGTTCATCCCTCGTTACTGAAATCCAGTAGACCGCCATTTGCTGGGAGTGTCACAGTTGACAGTAATAAAAATTTACCTGCTGACAAGTGTGTAGAGGAACATGCTACAGTTTTTGCTAATGATAGAGCTACTAATAAGGACCAAGAACTAATTGAAAATGATGGTTATAGAGCAGAAAATGATCAGACAATGAAGAATGATGCTAAGATCAGATATCTGACTGATGATGTGGATGATATTTCCCTGTCTTCTTTGTCATCTTCTGATAAGAATGATTTAAGTGAAGACTTCAGTGATGATTTTATAGATATTGAAGACTCTAACAGGACTCAAATAACTCCAGAAGAAATTTCTCTAAAAGAAGAAAAGCATGAAAATGTACCATCCAAGGATACATTTGATTCTCCTATGGAAAACGAAAAATCTTTCAGTAAAACTAATGAATGGATAGATATAAATGTATCTGGTAAATATAAATATCTTCAAGTGTGTTTGCTTTCTTCTAAATGTTTTTATAACTGAACATATATTTAGCCGTATCTTCTGATAAATTCCAAGGTGCCATCAATTTCAAGTCTGTATTAAATGACTAGTAGAAGGAACGATAGGTCTGGATAAAATTGAAATAGGGCAGCATTTATCTTCCATGTACAGTGACTTTTGTACACTATACTGTTTTTTTTTATCCTGTTTATAACAACAATAATATTGAAGATGTCTTTCTCACCTCTCTGTGGCTATCGTATACAGGCTTGTTGTTGTTATGTGCCATTGAGTCGGTTCCGACCCATAGCGACCCTGTATAGGGTTTCCGAGGGTGTAAATCTTTACGGGAGTAGAAAGCCTCATCTTTCTCCCGCGGAGCAGCTGGTAGTTTCAAACCGCTGACCTTAAGGTTCGCAGCCCGATTCATAACCACTACGCTACCAGAGCTTACTCCTACTCAATATAGACAGTATTTCAAAATTATTTTTCTGCACACTTTACCCCACCAATGGCATACCATAAAACTATCTCTTCTTTTAGGGTAGCAGATCTTTGCTATATGCTAAGAGCAAAGCTATAAGAAAAGGTAAATGAAATCATATAGATTATCTGTCCAATTTAGTGGATTTTTTTAATCCTTGGAAATGTTAATTTTTTTTTAAAGAAAGAATTCGATTTCTTGTTTAACAATTTGTATAGTTTACACAGACTCCTGGTGTGGCACTGTAGAATCAGCATTGAACTGTGCATCAAAAGGGTGGTTCAAACCCACCCGCTGCGCCTTGGAAACTCTGTGCAGGGTTGCTTTGAGTTGGCATTAACTCGATGGCACTTAACAACAACAACCACATAGGTTACACAGAGAAAAGGAGTCTCCATGTTAAAATGGGAAATACGTGGCTTGTTTTACAGTTGTAGAGGCTTGCTTTGTATTTCTAGAAATGTTTTAGAAGTGAAAGAAAGTTACATTACAGTTAGAAAATATTTTAGTAGGTTATTTTTAAGATTTTGCCTCTGGATTTTTAAGTTTTTATTAGAATTTAGACAATCCTACAGTTATGAATATTATACCAACCTTTTTGCTGTAATAAATCATATTTTGAGAGATTACGTTTTTAGAACCTGAGGAATAATGATATTTTTGTTAATAACTACTCTCTCTCTTTCTCTCTCTTCCATAAATCCACTGAAGACAGGAGTGAATGTACAGAGCATACTTCTGGGACTACGTTGATTTCACCAGATACAGATTACAGAGCTGGTTCTTCCTTTGAACTGTCTCCATCTGATAGCTCTGATGGAACATACATGTGGGACGAAGAGGGCTTGGAGCCTATTGGAAATGTGCATCCGGTTGGGAGCTATGAGTCCTCTGAGATGAACAGCATAGTATGTATGGATTTAGATACCCTTTTGGAATATATATATATATATAATTTTATTTATGTATTTTTTAAAACTATACAATGTAATTATGAACATGATTAAAAATTTCCCCTCCAACTTTATGAATTAACTTTTCTGTCTTGAGATATGGAAATCCACCTTTGTTAGTTTCTGTTAGATGCTGTCATGCACTCTTGGATTTATCCTGACCCAGCCTTCAGTATGGGTTGCACTTCAGTGTAAAGAAAACAAAAATCTTCACCACTGGACCAATAAATGACATCATGATAATGAAGAAACGATTGAAGTTGTCAGACTTCAATTTACTTGGATTCATCATCAGTACTCCTGGAAACGCAGTCAAGAGATCAAATGACATATTGCATCAGGCAACTCTGATGCACAAGACCTCTTTAAAGTGTTCAAGAGCAAAGATGTCAGTTTGAGGACTAAAGTGCGCCTGACCCAAGGCTTGGTTATTTTCAATAACCTCATATGCTTGTGAAAGTCGGACAGTGAATAAGTCTGTGCAAGAATTGATGCATTTGAGTTACGTTGTTGGAGACGAATATTAAAAGTACAGTGGACTGCCAGAAGAACAAACCAATCTGTGTTAGAAGAAGTACAGCCAGAATGTTCCTTAGAATGGCCAAAGTATATCCAATGTATGATAGACAAAGTCCCCAGAGAAGGATAGCATGCTTGGTAAACTGGAGGGTCAGTAAACAAGAGAGAAGCTCTCAATGAGATGGATTAGCACAGTGGCAACAACCATGGACTCAAGCATAGTAGCCATTGTGAGGATAGTGCAGGACTGGGCGGTGTTTTGTTCTGTTGGACATAGGGTTGCTCTGGGTTGGAACTGACTTGATAGCATCGAACAGCAGCAGTAAAACAGGAGAATGCAATGTTGTCTGGTTGTGTGCCATACTCACAAGAGTTGGTGTGTGTGAGCCCATTGTTGCACCCATGTGTCACTACACCTTGTTGAAGGTTTTCCTCTTTTTTTTACTGATCTTTTATTTTATCAAGCATGCTGCCCTTGTCCAGGTATTGGTCTCGCCTGATAGCACGTCCGAAGTAATTGTACAAGATGAAGTCTTACTATAATCCTTACTTCTTAGGACATTCTGGCTATACTTCAAGACAGATGTTTGTTCTTCTGGCAGTCTTTGGCGAAATGAGTTTCTTTGTTGGGCCTTTTTGCTATAGTTCTTTGGAGAAACAGTTTGATATTACCCCCCAATCCCTGAGAAGTTATCTTTGCTTTATTTTTCTATCCCAGAAGGTTTGTTACTTTTACATAGACTCATATTTCCTAAGTAAACGAAAAAAAACTTGTAGTTCAATACTTCTTTGGCCTTGAACTACAACCTGCACTGTCATTGGTCTGTTTTACATTCCTTGTATGAATTGCTCAATATACTTAAGCAAATGAAGTGACTGTGTTGCGTACTATGAAAATAGACTATCTCTGGTCTACTGAGTGGGGGTTGATTGGTCAGTTCATGACCCTGGTGGGCGGGCCATGCCTTGAAATTCTCCACACTGTATTATGCAGTGTTGTTCTGAGGCCTCTGAGTCAGTTCCTCCTCATAGTGACACCACATGACTCATAGAACTGCTCCATAGAATCAAGCAGGCAGCAGTCTTTATGAGAGCAGGTCACCAGGTCTTTTTCCTGTCGTCGGACAGCTGACAGATTCAAAACACCGACCTTTCATTAGCAGCCAAGTGCTTAATCATGATGGCAGTCACTATTGTTGTTAGGTGCCATACAGTAAGTTACAACCCATAATAAACTGTGGAGAATATCACATTTGCATTACGTCATACTTCATATAAACACATGCACTATGTTTTCTCAAAAATCAATTGTGTGTTATATGATCTTTTTGCAAACCATTTAACTGCACTCATTACACTGTACTGCAAAGTTGGTTTGAACTGTAAGGTTGGTGGCTCAAGCTTACCAAGCTGCTCCTTGGAAAACCCTATGCAGGGCTGCTATGGATTGGAACTGACTTGATGGCACTTAACAACAAAATATGTGTTACATGCATATGCACGCTATTTATGTAAAAAAATATGTTCATTATAATACATCGTTTGCATGCCATATTGGTCACATTAAGCTATGCTCTGGTAGTGTTGGGCTGCTAACCTCAAGGTCAGCAGTTAAAAAGTTATCAGGTTCTACAGGAGAAAGATGAGGCTTTTTGCTCCTATAAAGATTTACAGCTTCAGAAACCCTAAGCCGGATCGCTGTAAGTTGGTAGAACATCATCACCACCACCACCACCACCACCATCAGTGTTCTCAGATTGAAGGTAGAAAAGCCAATGTCTGGAGACAATGGATGGTTTGGTTGCCATAGTTGACAGGTATTATTGGCATCTTAAGGAGTCTTGGTTTGGTGCTGTGGGCTAATGCATTGAAATGCAAAGTCAGTTTGAACTGCAAGGTTGGTAGTTCAAGCTCACCAGCCGCTCCTTGGAAACCCTATACAGGGCCACTATAGGTCAGAGCTGACTTGATGACACTTACCAGGAACAACAAATTGACATCTTAAAGGTGCCTTGGTGTGACACTATGTGTTAATACACTAGATTGCAAAGTCAGTTTGAACTGTAAGGTTGGTAGTTCAAGCTCACCAGCCACTTCTTGGAAACCCTATACAGGATTGCTATAGGTCGAACCTGACTCAATGGCCCTTAACAAGTAGATGCCACAACAGTTGGCATCTAGCTGCTAAATGTAGGTATGTAATGCCTACAAGGAGTCTTGGTGTGGTGCTATGGGTTAGTGTGCTAGACTGCAAAGTTGATTTGCACCACAAGGTTGACGGTTCAAGCTCACCAGCTGCTCCTTGGAAACCTTATATAGGGACGCTATGAGTCGGAACTGACTTGACGGCACTTAACAACAACAACAACAGCAGTGCCTGCAAAGTGTAGTCCTGGTAGAACATCTGTAGTTTATTTTTGTCCACTAAATAATTAAAGAATCTTTAATGAATGGGTAGCCCATCTTTCAGGAGATATTTCACAAGTATGTTGTATAGCCAAACATTTAATAAGAACCGAGTAGTAGCAGCAAGTCTCATGTTTGTTTGGTAACTTTTTTCCTGGAGTATCAGTGTTGTTGTTAGGTGCCATCTAGTCGGCACCAACTCATAGTGTCCCTCTGCACAACAGAACGAAACACTGCCTGGTCCTGGGCCATCCTTACAATTGTTGCCACGCTTAAGCCCATTGATGCTGCCATATTGCCAATCTAGTTTGCTGGGGATCCTCTTTTTCTTTGACCTCTCACCCTACCAAACATGATAATCCTTCTCCAGCAACTGATAATATGTCCGAAGTATGAGAGACGAAATTTAGCCATCTTGGCCTCAAAGGAGCACTCTGGTTGCAATTTTTCAACACAGATCTGTTGGTTCTTTTGGCAGCCCATGGCACTTTCAGTATGCTACTCCAACACAATGACTCAAAAGCGTCAGTTCTTCTAGGGTCTTCCTTATTCACTGTCCAGCTTTTGCAAGCATTCGAGGTTATTGAAAATACCATGACTTGGGTCAGGCGCACCTTGGTCCTCAAGGTGACATCTTTGTTGTTCAGGAGTCTCAGTACTCACTCCTAAAACTGAGACTGGGATAGCCAGAGTGTTCTTTTATACTCATGCTATGCTTATAGTTGACAGAGGAGAGGTCTCACTAGGTTTTTACATTTTATTCATTTAACTATGATATGTAGCTTTTAAGAGCAATTGGCTATTGTAAATTTAAATACCAAGCAAGGAAATTTGTGAAAGATTGTCTTTTTATGTAATCTAGTGAACTTTAGACTTACTTTGTTAAATTCTACTATTTTAAACACGTTGTTGTTGTTAGGTGCCATACAATTGGCGCCGACTCACAGTGACCCTGTGCACAACAGAACGTTGGTGCCCAGTCCCATACCAACCTCACAACCTTTGCTAAGCCTGAGTCCATTTTGCTGCCACTATGCTAATCCATTTCATTGTAAGTCTTCTTTTTCTCCCACCCTCCACTTCACCAAGCATGATATCCTTCTTCAGGGACTGGCCCTTCATGATAATATGTCCACAGTGTGATAGATGAAGTCTGGTCAACCTGGCTTCCATGGAGCACTTAGACTGTACTTCATCCAAAACAGATTGGTTTGTTTTTTTGGAAGTCCATGGTACTTCTAATGTTCTCCTTCAACACCATAACTCAAATAAATGAATTATACGATCTTCCTTATACACTGTCCAACTTTCACATGCATACGAGGTTATTGAAAATACCATGGCATGGGTCAGGCACACCTTAGTCCTCAAACTGACGTCTTTGCTCTTCAATACTTTAAAAAATCTTGTGCAGCAGATTTGCCTAAGACAGTACGTCATTTGACTTCTTGACTGCTGCTTCCTTGAGTGTTGATGGTTGATCCAAGAAGAATGAAGTCTTTGACAGCTTCAGTCTTTTCTCCATTTATATAGATGTTATTTATTGGTCCAGTAGTGAGAAATTTTGTTTTCTTTATACTGAGATGCAGCCCATACCTAAGTCTGTGGTCTTTGATTTTCATCAGTAAATATTTTAAGTGCTTTTGTATTTCAGCAAGAAAGGTTGTATCATGTGCATATCCTAGGTTATTAATAAGTCTTCCTCCAATCCTGATGCCATATTTTTCTTCATATAATCCAGCTTTCCAGATTATTTGCTCAACATATAGAATAATGAGTATAGTGAAATAATACAATCCTGGTGCACACTTTTCCTAATTTTAAACCATTTGGTGTTTTCTTGTTCTGCTTGAACAGCTGCTTCTTGGTCTCTGTACAGGTTCGTCATGAGCACAATTAAATGTTCTAGAATACTCGTTCTCTATAATGTTGTACATAGCTTGCCATGATCCTCACAATCAAAAGCCTTTGCGTAGTTAATAAAGCACAGTTAAACATCTCTCTGGTATTCCCCGCTTTCAGCCAAGATC